AATTCAAGAATGCTTAATTCGAATAATGAAAAAGCAATGAAGAATTTTGAAGCATTAATTCCAGATAAGTGGTCTACTCTAGTATATCTTCCTTGGCTCGAAGAAGAAACGGCCATTCAAAGAATTCGTCATAGGTTTCAAATACCTGAATATGGTATCATACCAGCCTTTCGAGAATACTTCAATGAATAATCCGAGAAAAATACCCAAAATCATTAACGATGTAGAGCTATAACTATATAGAGCATTTTGTATACCATTGCGGTCAGTTCTTCAGAAGCAGAAAGAGGATTTTCAAAATTGTCAGCTTGTCTTTGTTATTAAACACTGATGTGCAACAGATACAAGAAGTAAAAAGGCAAAACGTCTCTCGTTATCTAGTTTAAATTCTGTCCAAACAATCTTTACGTAACGTTTTATAGACCATAGATGTTCCAAAGAGTTAAAGTGTGTATTAACGTAAATTTTGTAAAAGCACTATTGCCAATACACATTTAATATAAACGACAACTTTTTTGAAAATAGACATGTTTCGACATCTCATGATGCAGGGTTTATATAAAAGTAATATGATACATAAATTACAACAATAAAAAGGAAATAAGATAAATTAATGAGGAGCGTCCGAGCGTATTATAAACTAAATATTGTATTGAATTTAAAAACTTGAACATTGAGGTCAGGTTTAGTTTTGTTAATGTGGAGTGCTTCTTTGATTTTAAGGGTGAATGAGGTGTCGGCAGTGTCGATGATTTTGAAACAAGAGGGTGAATAGTTGGTTTTGCATGAGTGAGATTTAAGAAGGTGTCGGTAGATATGAGAGTTTTTGTCTGTTGTGGTATGTTCCCTGATTCTGGTGGATAAATGGCGCGAAGTTTCGCCAATGTATCGGGAATTACATCCCCCGCAATTGAATTCATATACCACCATAGATTTAATTGAATCAGGGATTGGGTCTTTAAATGAGAAAAGGTTTTTGATTTTGAATGATGTGAAAATTAGTCGAATGTCAATATCTGTACAGAAGCGTTTCATAATGTTTGTAAGTCTGCGTTGTGTGTGTCGTGAGTAATGTCCGATGTATGGTAGTTTGAAGTATAGAGTTGTTATTTTGGAATTTTCATTTGAGTTGGTTGTGATCGTCGTGTCAGGAGTTTCGGTGTCTAGGTTGAGGTTGTTGCTATGTTTGTTGTCGAGATATCGTTTTACGGTTCTGTTAATAAAGTGAAGTGGGAAAGAGTTTCGTAAAAGAGTGGATGTGATGTTTTTTTATGTCTCGTTGAAAGCCATTGTTCGTATTGTTAAGTTTGTATGCTCTGTCGATTAGTGTGCGTATAAGTCCGGTTTTGTATAAAAGTGGTGTGAAACTAAAATCGTTCGTCAGAAGTCCTGTGTACGTTGGTTTGTGGTATGTAGATGTTGTACAGCTGTTGTGAGATTTTGTTAGTAAAATATCAAGAAATGGCCGTTGATCTTGTTGTTCAGTTTCAAAAGAAAATCTAATGTTTGCGTGCTGTGTGTTAATGTAATTATAAAACTTCATGGCCTCAGTTTCGTTAGTAAAAACACAAAAAATATCATCTGCGGTAAAATAGTGGTTTAGTGTCGTTGTAGTTGTTTAGCCAGTTTCGTTCATGTGAGCCCATGAAAATGTTAGCAAGTATGGGTGCTAAGGGAGAGCCCATCGCAACACCGTCCGTCTGGTCATAAAATTTTCCATTAAACAAAAACAATGCGTCTGTGCTGTTGCTATTAAAAACAGTTGTGTTAGGTCTGTCCTGTTTATACTGAACCTGAGGTTGTGAGTGAATATTAAGTCGATTGCTAGGTTGATGGTTTCAGTAAGTGGTATGTTAGTAAATAGGCTTTCAACGTCGTAGGAGATGAAGAATTTATGACAAGAAGTTGATGAGTTGAAAGATGAGAAGTCGTCGAGGAAAGTGAAAGAATCTTTAGTGGAATGGTCATCAGGTATGAGTGGTGTTAGTAGAGAACTAAGATACTTAGCTAAATTATAATTGTATGCGTTGATTGATGAAACTATCGGTCGTAGTGGAGGCGATTGTTCTGGTTCTCGTTTCTTGTGAAGTTTCGGTAAGCCATAGAAGCGTGAGGGTTGAGAACCTCTGGGGAAGATATCATTATAAACTTTGTTGCTAATAGAGTCTTTCTTTAGAAGCTTCCTTAACAGTCGTTGTAGTTTGGCTTCACGTGGTGGTGTGACTTCTCAGGTAGTGTATCCTGTATCACATATTATTTCACTCATAATGAAGATGGCATCATGAGATGTCGAAACATGTCTATTTTCAAAAAAGTTGTCGTTTATATTAAATGTGTATTAACGTAAAGTTATATTAATATTATATCAGAATATATCATCAAAATGTATAGAGTCTACAACACGAGGTATTCCCAGGCGGTCACCCAAGTACTAACTTCGCCCGACAAGGCTTAACTTCGGTGATCAGACAAAAACCGGTGATGCCCTTGTGGTATCGTTTATAGTTTGTACATTTATATTTTATGCCAGTTCAGTTTGATTATTTTTTGATGACCATAAATGACTTTTTAAATTGATCGAAGAAATATGGGAAATTTGTTATTAATAAATAAAGAATTTGTCTCACATTGATCGATCGATCTCGCCAACATTGATGAAACAAAAACTATAGCAGATTGAACACGGATAAATTTACTACATTCTTACCAATTTTCAAGAATCAAATCCTTTCCGATGTCAGTGAAAAAGACGAGCATTTTTGGCCTTTTTGGCATTTTATTGTGGAAACATATGTAAGGACACCATATCAGTCGTTTGTAAATTTTAATCGTTCCTTCATTGGTTAAATATTTCATAAACAAATATTTGTTATCAGTTTGTCGATTTTGTTTTTGTTGAATATTATAGAGGCAAAATTTTAACTTAATCTACCATGTATTTGGCAAACAAGTCTTTTCACCAAGAAATGAAATAATGATATAATTTTAGATCATATCATCAAAATGTAAAAAGTCTACAACACGAAGTATTCCCAGGCGGTCACCCATCCAAGTACTAACTTCGCCCGACAAGGCTTAACTTCGGTGATCAGACGAGAACCGGTGATTTCCTTGTGGTATGGTCGTAGACATCCGAATGGGGTTATTTTATTTAGTTTTATCTTTACAGTTTGTACATTTATATTTTATACCAGTTCAGTTTTATTATTTTTGATGACCATAAATGATTTTTTAAATTGATCGAAGAAATATAGGAAATTTGTTATTAATGAATAAAGAATTTGTCTCACATTGATCGATCGATCTCGCCAACATTGATGAAACAAAAACTATAGCAGATTGAACACGGATAAATTTACTACATTCTTACCAATTTTCAAGAATCAAATCCTTTCCGATGTCAGTGAAAAAGACGAGCATTTTTGGCCTTTTTGGCATTTTATTGTGGAAACATATGTAAGGACACCATATCAGTCGTTTGTAAATTTTAATCGTTCCTTCATTGGTTAAATATTTCATAAACAAATATTTGTTATCAGTTTGTCGATTTTGTTTTGTTGAATATTATAGAGGCAAAATTTTAACTTAATCTACCATGTATTTGGCAAACAAGTCTTTTCACCAAGAAATGAAATAATGATATAATTTTAGATCATATCATCAAAATGTAAAAAGTCTACAACACGAAGTATTCCCAGGCGGTCACCCATCCAAGTACTAACTTCGCCCGACAAGGCTTAACTTCGGTGATCAGACGAGAACCGGTGATTTCCTTGTGGTATGGTCGTAGACATCCGAATGGGGTTATTTTATTTAGTTTTATCTTTACAGTTTGTACATTTATATTTTATACCAGTTCAGTTTTATTATTTTTTGATGACCATAAATGATTTTTTAAATTGATCGAAGAAATATAGGAAATTTGTTATTAATGAATAAAGAATTTGTCTCACATTGATCGATCGATCTCGCCAACATTGATGAAACAAAAACTATAGCAGATTGAACACGGATAAATTTACTACATTCTTACCAATTTTCAAGAATCAAATCCTTTCCGATGTCAGTGAAAAAGATGAGCATTTTTGGCCTTTTTGGCATTTTATTGTGGAAACATATGTAAGAACACCATATCAGTCGTTTGTAAATTTTAATCGTTCCTTCATTGGTTAAATATTTCATAAACAAATATTTGTTATCAGTTTGTCGATTTTGTTTTGTTGAATATTATAGAGGCAAAATTTTAACTTAATCTACCATGTATTTGGCAAACAAGTCTTTTCACCAAGAAATGAAATAATGATATAATTTTAGATCATATCATCAAAATGTAAAAGTCTACAACACGAAGTATTCCCAGGCGGTCACCCATCCAAGTACTAACTTCGCCCGACAAGGCTTAACTTCGGTGATCAGACGAGAACCGGTGATTTCCTTGTGGTATGGTCGTAGACATCCGAAAGGGGTTATTTTATTTAGTTTTATCTTTACAGTTTGTACATTTATATTTTATACCAGTTCAGTTTTATTATTTTTTGATGACCATAAATGATTTTTTAAATTGATCGAAGAAATATAGGAAATTTGTTATTAATGAATAAAGAATTTGTCTCACATTGATCGATCGATCTCGCCAACATTGATGAAACAAAAACTATAGCAGATTGAACACGGATAAATTTACTACATTCTTACCAATTTTCAAGAATCAAATCCTTTCCGATGTCAGTGAAAAAGATGAGCATTTTTGGCCTTTTTGGCATTTTATTGTGGAAACATATGTAAGAACACCATATCAGTCGTTTGTAAATTTTAATCGTTCCTTCATTGGTTAAATATTTCATAAACAAATATTTGTTATCAGTTTGTCGATTTTGTTTTTGTTGAATATTATAGAGGCAAAATTTTAACATAATCTACCATGTATTTGGCAAACAAGTCTTTTCACCAAGAAATGAAATAATGATATAATTTTAGATCATATCATCAAAATGTAAAAAAGTCTACAACACGAAGTATTCCCAGGCGGTCACCCATCCAAGTACTAACTTCGCCCGACAAGGCTTAACTTCGGTGAATCAGACGAGAACCGGTGATTTCCTTGTGGTATGGTCGTAGACATCCGAATGGGGTTATTTTATTTAGTTTTATCTTTACAGTTTGTACATTTATATTTTATACCAGTTCAGTTTTATTATTTTTTGATGACCATAAATGATTTTTTAAATTGATCGAAGAAATATTAGTCCAGTAGATTTATGCTTGAACCTTGAACTAATTCCCACAAAAGCTCACTCTTCAAAAATATCTTTCCCTTCATGTACAGAACAACATATTAAAAGTCCCACATGATCTGAGGCCGGCAACTTCGTAAAATAATGTTTTCTGTGAAATTATGACATGAAAACGAGGCTATAAACAAGAATTACAAAATAACACTGCTTTGACCTAACGAATAACATATTTGATTATATAAATCTGCAGCGTGGCTATTAAAAATCATGTTAAGTCTTCAACGACCGAAAAAAAGGAATCCTTTAGGTTACATAGTAATACAAGAGTGTCACTATATTTACATATGGTTGATATAGTGTACTTTGATTTACAAAGACATTTCTGTCATTTCGTACTTTTGTTAATCATCTTCAACATCAGGTATAATTTCTATTTGACCAGTTGATAAGATGTCTTGATCTTTAACCTTTTTCCTTGGAACTTGGCTTATTTTATTTGTACCTGGTGTTACCATTGCAATTATCCCTGTACCGTGAAATGTACCATGCCCGTCGATAGTTCGGAGATTATGGTCGAGGTTATCCAAACCATACTGTGTAAACTCACCATTATAATCCGGGATTGTAGTCCCTTGGCTTACGGCTGCATTTCGTTTGAATGAGAGGACTTCTTCATATGACGAACAGAAACCAGCATGATTAAGCGTGTCTATTAAAAAACGCGAGGCAAAGCTGTGATGGAGTAAAACACCCATTCCAATCTGTAAAGGTGCAAGCAAAGCACGAGGACGAGTTGACTGCATAATCGCTTGACCAACAAAAGCTACTTTCCGAGATGTGTCTTTTCCTGAAAACAGTTGATTAAGAAGAAGCTGAAGTGTTGGGGGTAAGAATTCAAGATTTTTGTCAATGTCACTGTCGATTAACGGATATATGTCGTTTGATGTTTCAATACATTTTATGTCACTACGTAAAAGTTTTGCTGCTGCTCTTATAACATTCAGTTTCTCATCTTCAGGATTGGAATTTTCTTTCTGCTGCATGTAGAATTCCTCTAGTATAGACGCAGCAGTTCTTCTGAATGTCACAATACTTGGCATGCCTGGTTGATTTGTGATAATCACATTATCCCAAAAGTGCTCTAGAATCCTTCATTTCATGTAGCGGTTGCTATATGCGGTACTATCAGTCGCGGACTCCGCCAAATACTCCTCCATCTTTTTTATAAAATCTAATACAGTAACTTGGTCATCAATGTTTTCTAAATATTGAGCTACCTTTAAAAATGCATCGTTGGCAGTGTTGTTGATTGGTCGTCCTGATTTGCGCTTTTTGAGCGGTGGTTGGTCATTAAATGGCGCTGGAATTCTCATTTTTGTCCTGAAGTTTGTACTGCATAGATGGTGATACATTGCGTCAGCTGCCGGTAGGTCATGCAAACTTTGGATCCTTGATTTTACGGACTCGGCCCAGTCATCGCATCTCACTTTGCAAGCATTCAAGATAGTGTTTTGAATGTCCATAGTCCTAACAGTGCAAACAACACGCCCCCTTTTGCCCTCTTGTTCTTGATTAATTTCATTTCCGCAAAACAAGCAATCTCTTCTGAAATCGAACTGAACTGAACTTTGTGAGCGAAGGGTTCTTGGTACGGGATGACGCTCTTCATTCTGACGTAGCGATTTAGAAATATATGATGGATTTGTGTATCGTTTCCTACATGCTATGTGAACGCTGTCACCTTCACGGACGTCAACTGTATCGCCTGTTTCTTTACTAGCTCGGTTTATACGCCAGGGGCGAAATTTAAGGGGGGGTATGGGGGGGGACTAACCCCCCCAAAATGTTAACGTTGCAGGGCAACAATTGAATTTGCAGGGCTAATTACAAAACTAAACACTAGGATACGTGCGAACAGTTATCCACATAATGTGAAAATATGGTTCAGTTTTAATTTAAGCTGGATTTGCACTTCATGTGTAAGAACGGAAAACGGTAAACGGTACGCATCAAGGAAACTTTCCGTTTATAAATTTCCTCTAGTTTTGGCGGACATTTTAAAAGCAGATATGCATCATCATCGAAGTGTTCGTAAGTAAAATTATTGAAGTTTTTATATCTTAAGTGGAAACACCATACTATATTTTTACATCAGTAACACAAACACTAAGATAAAGTTTTGTTGATTTAAATTGATTGAAGCTTTTTAGTAATTAATGTTTGTATAGTTTATTTTACGGACAAAAACCAAAATCCTAACCAAACAACTGCAGGAGGAGGAGCTAAATATAGTAGATGCACTTAACCTGATTGATGCTACAGTAAAAAACCTTAGACAAATTCGAAGTGACGAGAACGGATTAGACTCGAAGATAGAGGCAATGGTTGCGTTTGGAACCAAAGTAGGAATAGACGTAACGATAGAATACACTGGTCATCGATCAAGAAAGCCACCCAGACGAATTGGCGAGCATTCCGAAATAGCAACAGAAATATCATTTAAAGATTTCTACCGAAAGGAAATGTACTTGGTTCTAGACTCACTTATTACCGAGTATACCGATAACATTAAAGATTACATCGACAAAATAAAACCTCTTGGAGAGAGCTTACAGCTGCCGCTAGAAAGGCCGATGGCTGAAACAGTTAATGAAATGTGTAGTCTTTTTCCACCGGCGGTAAAAGATGTTGATGCAGAAATACTGCTGTCTGAGTTGGAAATTTTCAATAATATTGTGTCATCACAACTTAAATCAGAACCTAAATCCCTTCAAGACGTTGCGTTATTTGCTTTCAAACAAAAAAGCGTCTTTCCAACGGTGTGCAAGGCGTATCAACTATTGCTGACCACTCCAGTGTCCGTGGCAAAAGATGAAAGGTGTTTCAGCAAGCTTAAGTTTGTCAAAAACTGCCTGAGATCCACAATGAAAGATACGCGATTAAATGACTTTATCGTTCTTGCATGTGAAAAAGATCTTACGGACAATGTTGACTTAAATATTATTTTAAAAAATTGGGCAACTGCAAAGATGCGAAAACTGCCATTAAAGATATAATAGTACGCTAAAGTGCGTTCTGCCACAAAAATACAACATGTATTACAAAAATATATGGTGTAAGTACTGTTCCATATGATCTGCAGGGCATCTTGTGTCCTTGCAGGGCAATTTCATCCCCAGCCCCCATTCAAAAGATGCTAGTTTCGCCCCTGTTTATACCATCTATCCCTTTAGATGTTAGAGCCACCCCGTTGTTCACAATTGATTCTTTACATATTGCACAGTACTGACGCAGAATTTGATCCATCCTATAATGATTCACAAGCAAAATAGTGTTCGACAACACAAAAAAGCCTGGTTTTATTTACTGGTTTATGCGATATTTTACAGCCCTAATGTATCTATGGCTTTGAACGCGGTATTATAATGCAAACATTGTATTTGGTAATTAGGTCGCTAATTATAGCCCCCTCTTGTTAGTTTTAACTTAAATTATTGTGACCCACAATATTGACGTATTCATTCATTGTAAAATGTAATAGCAATTAATTTCATTAACTCATTGTCTTCAAGTTATCTATTTTGCTTACCTTGAGGAGAACAAAGAAACGTTACATTTTGATGCCAATAACGAGCCAAAGCTTCAATTTGAAGTATTGAAAGGGAAGTCACATCAAATATAATAAATATCCATCTAAACACGTGCAAAATATACGTAAACAAACGTACTTCGAACACGCGTTTGTCTAAAAAACTACCAAGTCAGCGAAAATTAGTGCCCAAAACAGCAAGATCAGCATTTTTGACGTAAATAAAGGACAAAATATTAATTAATTTACAAAATATCATTATCCACTTGTTTTTAATCTATAATATTTATATTTGTGCTTTACTAAGTGTTCTAAAAGGATAAAATCTAAAACATTAATTTTTGAGCCTCGTTTCCATGTCGCTCAGATTTTCAATCCAAATGCCTCAAATAAAACGTAATTTACACGATGTTGCCGTGCTAGGATTTTGTGGGACTTTCGATATGTTGTAAAGGGATATCAAATATACCAAAATCAGTTGGAATTTCTTTTGTGGAAATTTGTTCAAGCTTAGAGTGTTTTTGGTCGTAGATTGACTGGACTATATAGGAAATTTGTTATTAATAAATAAAGAATTTGTCTCACATTGATCGATCGATCTCGCCAACATTGATGAAACAAAAACTATAGCAGATTGAACACGGATAAATTTACTACATTCTTACCAATATTTGTTTTTGAAATGTTTATCCAGTCAAGGAAACACTGAAGTTTGTTTAAAACTTATTATATTACTATTACCATTCAATATCGTATTTGCTATCTTTCGAACAATTTTCAAATATTTAACCAATGAAGGAACGATTAAAATTTACAAACGACTGATATGGTGTTCTTACATATGTTTCCACAATAAAATGCCAAAAAGGCCAAAAATGCTCATCTTTTTCACTGACATCGGAAAGGATTTGATTCTTGAAAATTGGTAAGAATGTAGTAAATTTATCCGTGTTCAATCTGCTATAGTTTTTGTTTCATCAATGTTGGCGAGATCGATCGATCAATGTGAGACAAATTCTTTATTCATTAATAACAAATTTCCTATATTTCTTCGATCAATTTAAAAATCATTTATGGTCATCAAAAATAATAAAACTGAACTGGTATAAAATATAAATGTACAAACTGTAAAGATAAAACTAAATAAAATAACCCCTTTCGGATGTCTACGACCATACCACAAGGAAATCACCGGTTCTCGTCTGATCACCGAAGTTAAGCCTTGTCGGGCGAAGTTAGTACTTGGATGGGTGACCGCCTGGGAATACTTCGTGTTGTAGACTTTTTACATTTTGATGAAAAGATCTAAAATTATATCATTATTTCATTTCTTGGTGAAAAGACTTGTTTGCCAAATACATGGTAGATTAAGTTAAAATTTTGCCTCTATAATATTCAACAAAAACAAAATCGACAAACTGATAACAAATATTTGTTTATGAAATATTTAACCAATGAAGGAACGATTAAAATTTACAAACGACTGATATGGTGTTCTTACATATGTTTCCACAATAAAATGCCAAAAAGGCCAAAAACGCTCGCCTTTTTCATATGCTTCGGAACATGCGGGTTGAAAACGGTGAAGGCTGAAACCTGCCCGCGTGGCTTGCGCACTTCGAAAGTTGCCTTCTCGACATCGTTTACCTTCAGCCGGACTGTCGCAACATCGTTTACAGCAGCCGCGATCCCCATGTGAAGCACTCGACTCGGGCTGAGAACCGGGCCAAGCGGAGACCATCCGCTGGCCTCCCCTTTCCGCCTGCAGAGTAATACGCGTAGGAGGGCGGGACGCCATCATCGCAGCGCCATCGGAAACGACGATACTCAAGTCGCTTGGCGGCTTGAGCTTGGGTGAGAACGGCCTCCAGCTGCGTACGGTTGGGGCAGTCAAAAGCTTATTCCCAGAGATCGAGCTCGGTGGATCTCGCTCGGCATCGTATTGGCAGCGGAAGCGCTTTAAATCCGTCACAGGAGGTTTCCTTGCTTGGAGCCAAATCTTGGAGCCAAATGGCCACCGGTTCTCTATCAGGGGAACTCTCAAGATAATACACCCTATAGGTACGTCTTCAATTGTATCCGAACGTGCCCTATCGGTTCGAGACCGCCCACAGGATCGTGGTATAGCGAGTGAGAAGAGAGGTGCCATCATCCCGCCAGAAGACATGGAAGTTCCAATTCCAAGCCTCTTGCAGTTTACCGTTGCCCAGATACCACTCGTTTTCAGCCCGCTCAATCCAGAGACCCTGAATCTGTATCTTGCCATTCTTCAGATTCGCACCCTCCCCAAACCGCGCCACCACAACCTCACGTCGTTCGAGATCAGGCAGCGTTCCTGTAACAATTCTCAGTAAACCACCCAAACGGTCATCAACACTATGGAGGTCGAGTTTGTTTACCTTCAGCTGCGCGACAGTATGAGAGAGAGTGCCCTCGGTATCCTCATTCGCAATTTTTGTTTCGTTTTGCACCACAACATGCTACAAACGAGCAAGCTTCTTCTCCTGATCACTTATCACCGAAGCAGCCACCGTCTTCTCCCAAGTGGTCGCCCAAAATATCATGTCCATGAAACACATTCAAACAAGGCCTCGAGCGCTCAATATAGCAAGACACTTGCTAGTAATGCGGCTCCCGTTAATGAGGAGCGCATTAATAAAGGCAGAATCGTTAGTCATCTTGCCTCTGAAGCCTCCAGGCATGAAATGATGATAATAATTTATAACCTTGCTCTTGGTGTTTTGGAGTAGGTGTCAAGCAAGGCCGCCAAATCACCGAGCTTCTGCCCTGACCCCGAGACCGCAAGAGCATGCTGTTTAATCTCCTGCAACATCCACCTCGCCAGGCGAAACTGGAGATGGCCGAAGTCGACTACGGCGTTAGCGACCACCTCAAAGGGATACCTGCTGAGAAACTGTTGGTTTGCTTTATTCGCAAGCACGCGACAGTTAGCTACGATGGCAACACGCATATCATGATCCGTCTGAAGCTTCCTGAGATTTGCTTCAAACCCTTGAGGGTTTTCCGTAAACAATTGTACCAGCTGCGCACGCGGAGTGAAATAGTTGCTATTTGAGAAAGGCCTCGGGAATCTTCTGGCCAGCCAGAGAGCGGCCAAAGACGAGCAGCAGCAAGTGATCGAACTCCCCCTCTTTCCGAGTTTGGAGAGAACGCGCGGTTGCAGTGACCGCCGGGAGTTGGTTTTTCAAACGGACATCAGCGACGCTGTCGCGAACTTGGCTTGTATCTTCAGCATAGTTCAGCAACCTGGATTTGACCGCGCTCAGGACCGATTCTTCATTGAGAAGCTCAGGGTGGCCCTCGGACAAGACATAGAGCTTTTTAACGCTTGGGTGTTTTTATAGCTCAAGCAAGCTCAACTCAGCAAGGGGATGGTTTGGTATACACTGCAATGCTTATTTGCCGGTATATAGTTTGTACATGGTTTGGTGTATACTGCAATGCTTATTTGCAATGCTTATTTGCCGAGGAGCAAGCTCAACCCCGCCAACGCCTAAGGAAAGCCTCCACGCTTCATGAGCATTTGTGACTTGATCTGGTCGCTCATCGCTTTTTGCAGCTCCGACAGCGACACACCGGCCACAAGGCCTAACATGCGTAGGAAGGGAAGAAAACCACCATATTGGCGGTTTGATATCGCGAGGTCACCCTCGCGATATTGGCGGTTGCGCGTTTTCAGATCACCAACTTCCATCTTGCTTGCAGCTACAATAACGACAAAAACTCCACACGTCAAATTGGTAATAACTCAGACGACACTCCATCTGTAAGATTGCCTCGCGCTTTTGCGATGCCTGTGACAGGGTACAGATTGGGATTGATCGGGATCATAAACCAGCTGTTGCAGTAGTCCTCGGCCATGATGGGCACTTCCGCGCCGTACGTCTTTCCGCAGAACTCTTGGACCAAGTTAGGGCCTCTCAGGTAGGAACTTTTATTGGAGTCGTAAAAGTGTGTGGCTCCTGTTTGATTAGCTTCGCCCGCGCTGCACTGCCACGAGAACTTCAGTAGGTGATCAAAGAGGTTCTGCTCGTTCGCGATGATGCGGAGCTGGCTCAAGTTGGCGTGGATCATAGGCAATCAGTTAGTGGAGTCGGCGGCGGCACCTGGGGCAAGTCCTGGTGCGTCTCCGAGCCTCGAGTCGGGGAAGAAGAGAATCATCTTCCTGGGGATTGGGGCATTGTGTATGAGCGAGAGAGTGCCAGCGTCATCGTTCAACGACTTTTGAACTACCCTGGTGCACCAGGTGTGGAAATTCAGCACCTTAGCGATCGAGACCTGGTATCTGTAGTCTTTTTTCATGCGATAGGTGGGGTAGACAAAGTCGAGCTCTAGCAGCTCTATACGTATGCTGCTTATAGCGTCTGCGTTATCTGCACCGCCCTCTTTGTTAAAAGTGATCAAATAGTGACTGAGATCGCCCTGTGGGAGGTCGACGCGAATCTT